GTATTACTATATGGTCTTGGAAATAACCACTTTACTGCTTTAGTTCGAAGCATCATTTGTTCAGGAGGTAGTTATGAATCCCATCAGAGTCCTTACTCTATGCACTTGTACAAGACCTATGGCTGCATCGGTTATGATGTAGTCAGGAATCTCAGTAGTTTTTCTTGGTTCATTTGTATAATTACTCGATCTACAAAAAAAATTATTCCAGCTTGGTAAACGCATCATTAGTTGTGATAGTTATGAATCTCATTATCATCTGAATTCATATTTATATAACTATAATGGCTACAGGCTAACTGATTTACTGCGTGGATGAAGACCTTTTTTGTTACGATGTAGTTGATGAAATATATGTCGCACACAAAATTGGTTTTTGGATTTTTAAAAAAGCTACCCATCGAGGTGAGTTGGTATTGACTTCAGGCGAGCTAGATTAACAGGCGTGGGGGAAAGTACATGACCTCAGAATTGGTCACCTCAGTTCGCGCCTCCAATTCAACTTGCCAGCTTCGAGATTTCACAATACTGATCTGCTTTAAGAAGTCCTCGGAGATATGCCTTCAGGGAATCCCAGACACATCCTTAAGGAGCAGTACTGTTCAGAGCTAAAAACAGGTCTTCCAATGATACGTCATGAAACAGTAGGGTAAACCAAAATGAATTCAATTTTCAAGGTAAAGATGGGGAACGCAGGCCCAGCTCTAAATATTGTAGGAATGGGAGCATGATCCGAAAGGGATCTGGGCAAAATGTCAACCTCAATAAGTATAGGGAGGACATCTGACTAAGTGCATAGTGAATACAGGAAAGTTTTGTGAGGCAGAAAAACACGAAAATTAGTTCTGAGTAGTGTTGAAGCCAAGTGTCCTTTTAGTCCCAATTCTGTGCAAAATTTACTAAATCCTCAACAAACAGGAGTTTTGAGTACAAGAGGAACATCTCTGCATAAAAAAGAATAAAAAATATTAGGGATGCACAGATATATCGACTGCCGATTATAGCACTATTAGAAAAATTCTGAGAAAATAATATTGCTGATCTATGAACTGCCTTCCCTGCCCACCCACAGTACCAGCTTTATCAGATAAGGAGCTAGACTGGTTGAAGCTGATGGAAAGGCTACACTAACTCAATTAACCACTCGTTATAACCGAGGTGTTCAGAAGACCATCTATAAATGCACAACTTGTCGAACCTTGAATCGGAGGGGCTACAGCAGCAGAAAGCCACACCGGGTGCCCCTTTTTGTGAGTTAACGGGTAACTAAGGCTACATTTTGCAAGGGCTCACCAAACGTGGACAGTAGAAGATTGGGATAAAGTTGCACGCAGAGTCGGGAATTTTTGTGTAAACAAAGCATGTCTCCAGCCTGCCTTGCATCAATGGTTCAGGCGGGTGGTGGTGTAATGGTGTGGGGGATATTTCCTAAGCACACGTTGGTCCCCTTAGTACCCACTATGCATCATTTGAATGGCGCAGCCTACCTGAGTATTGTAGATGACCATGTACATTCCTTTATGAATACAGCGTACCCATCTTCTGATGGCATTTTATCCTGCTGGAAATAGATGTCACATAGCTAACATCGCCTGTTTTTTTTTTTTGATTATTAGTACACTGTACTCAAATGGCCTCCACAGTCACCAGATCTCAATCCAATAGAGCATCTTTGCGATGCAGTAGAACTGGACATTCACATTATGAATGTGCTGCCGACAAATCCACAGCTATTTCAGGGGTGTGGAAATATAAAAAACAAAACTACTTGTCCAAGGACTAAAGCCGGGGCCTAATCTACTTGTCCCTCATGACAATGTACTAGTCCTGCTACAAAAAAAATACTTTACAAAAATCATATTTAGCAGTGCTAAGAGCTCCTCGTTGGTCTGCGCCGTCATGCGACGGCGCTGACCAACGAGTGCTTGCAATTTGGGAACGAAGTTCAGAATACATGGCATGGGTACAGATAGTACACCTATACTGGTGGACGGGAAGGACCGTTCGCTGAAAGGTAAGTATAGCAGGGAAGGAGAGGGTGCCAGATTTGTGCGGGTAATTCCATTTTCCCAAATTGGCAAAGTAAATTTGCCCTTTTAGGGCTGGTGCAGACTTGGGCAATCGTGTGAAGTTACATACATCGGTTCCCGTGCGGCCCCATTGATTTCAATGGGTTTACAGCCGCGTAGTAATCGCTAAAAAAAGGTACAGGGCGGTGTTGCCGTGGGAAACTGCACTATCTCCCTGACGCGGCCAGGGTGCCATTAGGAAATAATGGAGCTACCAGCGAGATCGGCGGTGGTGTGTGATTCTGTGACTGCCCAGCCATCTGCACTGTGTGCGCACTCGCACTCTCACACACAATGGCCTATGCATGTTTTTATTCTCATGCAGATGGTGGGTGCATTAAAGTTGGTTATTTTTTTTCTTTGTAAAAAATGTTTTCATTTTGTAAGTTATGAAATTTTTATTTTTTACATTTATATGTATTTACATTTTTAATTGTTTTGTTTTTTCCACTTGATTTTATTATCACAAAGAGGATACCAAGCCTCTGTGAGATAGCTTCTCGAGGTGACGGGCTCTCTTTATTGACCCTGTCACCCCAACACAGGAGTTCTAGCACTGCACTGTGCTCAGGAAGGCTGCGAGCATTCCTGTCATTGCTCACATGGAGCAGAGAAGCATGCTCTGCCCTGTGCTCTCTATAACCTTATCTAATTTGCTGTGGTCCCGGGTTCCCCACAAGAGCGAGGGACCCTGAAGACCTCAGCAGAAAGGAAGCCAGCGGGCAGCGAGAGAGGCAGCCGGAACACAGGGGGGAGAATCAGGCTAGTAACAAGTGATTTTGGATGGATGTAAAGCCGTTCAAGATCACCTGTACGAAACTGCTCCCACACTACATTTAGACCGGCTGCCTGCAGGGCTAAATGTAGAAAAAACACTACTCGCCTGGCACCCGAAACTGCCTGTCCCGGACATTGGGTGATGGGAATTTCGCTATGCTATCCTATTAGATCTGGACTCTTTCTGGAATGTTTCCAGCGCTTTGAATATATGCTACGAAGAATTGAGGGTTTTCTGACAACAAATGATCCAACCTTTTGCAATGTGTAACAAATAGTGGCGTGTGTGTGTGTAATTTTTTATACATACATACATCCCACACACTTGGTACTGGGTCGCTATGGTGACTAGATATTGCGTCTGGGCTTCTATCAGCCACCTCCACCGCTGCATCAGCTCTGCTCCTCTTGTTCTTCCTGATGGGAGCATACAATCTGTCTCCTTCAATCCCCACTGCTTTCCCTGTCTTATCAGCAGAGGCAGCAGGGATTGGAGTGGACAGACTGCCTGCTATTGGTGGGTGCAATACCCAGCCTGCTATTGCAGTTTGAAATGGTCAATATCAGGCTGCCTATTGCTCCCAGCCACTGGCTGCTTTGTCCAGAGCACCTGCTGCAATTTTTCTGCACCCCAGTTCCTATGTTTTTAATGCATAGTTGAGCAGCTTAGCTTTGTTCCCACATCAGAGATGGGCCTTTTTGGCCGCAAGGCCATAATAAAATGTCAGCCGGTGCTCTGGACCGATGAGTCAAAATTTGAAATATTTGGGTGTAGCAAGGGGCAGTTTGTCTATTAGGGCTTAAGAGCCGTACAATAGTCTGCGGATAACAGTGAATCATGGTGGGGGTTCCTTGCAAGTCTGGGGCTGCATTTCTGCCAATGGAGTTTGATCAGCATCAATGGTGTCTTCAATGGTGAGAAATGGTTATCCATCATGCCATACCATCAGGGAGGCATGTGATTGGCTCCAAATTTATTCTGCAGCAGAACAACGACCCTAAACATACAGCCAATGTCATGAACTATCTTCAGTGTAAAGAACAAGGAGTCCTGGAAGTGATGGTTTGGCCCCTACAGAGCCCTAATCTCAACATAGTCTGTCTGGGATTACATAAGGAAATCGAGGGATTTGAGGCGACCTTCATCCACAGAAATGTGGCTAATTCTTAAAGATGTTTGAAACAGCCTACCTGCCGAGTTCCTTCAAAAATGATGTGCAAGTGTACCTAGAAGAATTTATGCTGTTTTTGAAGGCACAGGTGGTTACACCAAAATAAAGATTTGCTTTTGGATTTCTCTCCTTTGGATTTCTCTTCTGTTCATTTACTTTCCATTTTGTTCATTGATAAAAATAAACTAGTAACACTTTAATTTCTGAAAGCATTCTTACTTTACAGCATTTCCTCACACTTGCCTAAAACTTTAGCACGGTACTGTATATTCAAAAAATTGTTTATGGTTGGATTAGTTGATGGGTGTGTTTAACAAAATGAAATGTCAGTGGTGTGTTTGAGATGGGAAGGGAGAGGTTTTACAAATCTTTGCAAATGATAATCAAACTGGCAAATTTGATGTGAGTTGATACCTAAAATAGATTTTGTTGGTGTGTTGAATAAGAATTTTGTGCATGTTGGGTGGGTGATAAAATAATTTGTAAAATCATAATGTCAATTACTTTTATCTGTATTATTATCCTGGATGACTCATTCACCCTTATTTGCAATGTCTTTTATTATAATGTGTGAATTTTTTTCCCACTTTTTTGTTCAGTTTTAACCCTGTAGTCCGTTTCAGTAGTTTGGTCTATTTTTGATGTATAAATTGAGATCTTTTATGTTCTAGTAATTGGATCGTCGCAATATAGTTCTCCTTGTGTTGGGTTGGATGTGGAGCATGTTTGAAATCTCTGGGTATATTTTTCTGAAGTAAACTATCTTCAGATTGGATACTGACTCTTTCACAACATTCTGGGGATCCACAGATAAAACACACATTTGAAGTGGGTTCAAAGTGGAGAATCTCTTTGTGATTGTGCTTTATGCCTGGTTGTTTTTTTCCCCCTTTTTGGTGCTCCCTCCTTTTTCTGTGTTATTTTTGGTGTGCAGCCTTTATGTCCCCACTGTGGAGGTGAAGCTTTTAATTTTCCTTGGTAGTGGACCTCAGATGGTGTGAACGGAATGCTGTGTAACTTGAGGGTAGGTTTAACCCTTTCGCTGCTTATGTATTGGGTTTTATTGCACACATTTTAGGTCTGATATTTAAAACGCCAAAGATTTTCTGAAAGCAGATTCTGTAGAATAAAATGCTGGCAGTTGTAAACACAATATAGTACCCATTTTTTTGAGAAATATCTATAAAAAGATGAGGCTCCGATGTGTAAATACCCAACATGCCCGGGGTAAAAATTGCGTGCGTCCGTGAAACGGTGACAAAATACGGTACCGCAAATTGTCCATAGGCACCTCTTCTAAAGACCGCGTAGGTCATCAGTTTAAAGATATATCTATGAATATTGACCTTAGAAGTATTGCTCTCGCGCATGCGACGATACCTAGCATATTGCAATTTGCTAGGATCTCCTGTAGACTAACAAATTGTCTAAAGCCTACGAAGTTTAAATATCAGGATTGTTTATGTAGACCAAAAGATGCGTAGTGGCTTGTAAATTTAAAGTCCTCTATAGAATCAGGTTGTAGGGTTGGAGCTTCTTTTGGGAGAAGGTGGTTTTATATTTTAAAGATTGTTTATAGGTTTTCTGGAGCCGTTTCTTCTAGTAAGTGTTTTTGCCTTGTCTTTACACTCAGGAAAAAGAAGATCAGTTAAACAGGCCAAAATTGCAGGCTAAAAAAGAGCAACGGGACCATATTAGGGAAGAATTGAAAATTGCTAAAGAGCGAGCAAAAGAAGAAGCAAAGAAAAAGAAAGATGAAGAACGTGAACAAAAGGCTAAGAAGAAAATGGAAAAAAAAGAAAAAGATGACAGAGAGAAGGCTGAAAAAATACGTCTAAAGGAAGAGAAGAAAAAAGAAAAGCTTGAAGCTCTGGAGTAAGTGTTCTATTGCTTTTTCGCCAGAGGTTATAGTATGAAAGTAAGAATAAAAAAACATTTTTCCCACTATGAGCTGGGCTGGGACCCACGCCTGTCCAACGCCAGCTTTAGACCAATAGCTGTCTGATCATGTGACTGCTAATCAGTCAGCTCTTGCTCTCTTCCTGTGAAGAGCAGTGGAAATAAGTTTTTGCTATACTTTATCTTGATTTTTATTTGCCAAAAAGTAAAATAATTGTAATGTTATACAAAATTGCCTTATTCGAGGGTGAGGAAACGGTTAAAGCGCTTGTAAACAGAAAAGCAAAAAACGTAAAGGTGATTATCAAATCTGAAGCAGACAATCTGGCGCAGTTACCCATAGTAACCAATTCGCTTCTAACTTCAGTTCAGTTCAACTTTTGTAATGAAAGAGAAGCGTATTGTTTAATATGGACCCTACTGGTGACAGCGGAGTGTTTCGTATGCCATCTGTAGCCATTGCTGTACGCAAAGCGACCCTGTTGCCTGGTGTACAGAGCTGCAGGGAAATGAGAAACGGTGGCTGCCATCTTTGCCACATGGAGGCAGCACACTGATATTGCCAGCATCTGACACCATACACAGCAAAATCATGATTGCAAGGGACAATGGAGACCAGCGAGGGGTTTTTATTTAACGCTTTGGTGACTGTATTGGGGTCCCCCATGACAGATTTATAAACAAAGGGACAGGAGGGTGCCTGGGTGTTGAGGTTTTCCTTGGGGATTCTTGGCATTTAGCTTGCTGTCCACTCAAAATGTCTTATCACACACCATCAAGGGGTGTGTCTCTTCCTTTTAAGTAAGATTTTGCAGTCTATCTGAATTATTTTATGGGACAAATCTGTTTTTTGTTTGAGACATCCGGTTGCACATGGTGGAAGCGTGGTCCCCATTCTCCTGTATCTGTTTTGGATCCAGCCATTGACACGTTTTATTGATGGACCTTGTGGAGGAGTGTGTTAGTAGAGGTGCCAACCTCCTCGGGCTAAGTTTTTCTTGGTCTACTCGGTCTTCCTTTTAAGTTTACTGCAACCCTGCCCCAAAAACCATGTGACACTAGTTCAGAAACCAGTTGATGGGGTGAGAAAATGTCTAGCCATTGCTTCTCCTGTGCAGGACGCCCATAGGTCACTTTTATGGGTTTCCTTAACCTCTTGCCGTCCGCCCGTTAAGAAAAAAACGGACGGACGGCAGACTCGCATCAGCGGGTTACCGTCTCCAGACGGCAATTTTTTCCTGTGTGCCCCCACGGGCAGGAGAGACCCGCTCGTTTCTACAGCCATTAAAGGCTGTTTCACATACAACCGATCAGCGGCTCTATAGCCGCCTATTAACTGGTTAAAGTGACAGTCAAAAATGTTTCCCTTTCGTCCTCCAGAACAGCTTACGAGAGGCTCCACCCCTTTTAACAGGAAACGCGTCACCCTCAGTTGTTGAAAAGGCCCGCCTCTCTCCTAGCTCCTCAGGTTTTCGTGTTTCCTCCGTCAGGGGGGAGCATCTCACCGGAACGTCGAGGGGGGACCTCTTTTTGGGGATGCCGCTCAGGTTTTTTGTAACACGATTACCTTAATGGGCCACTGGTGCGCTCCACTTGCCGCAGTTGATTCCGCACCAGGTCCTCCATCCTTTTCGGTGCCCGGGAAGGGTCAGTACCGGAGCTGCACCTACCCCCTTGGCTGAGCCCTCGGATCGGAGGGCTAGTAGTCGGGTGCTGCTGGTCCGGGGCTCCGGGAGTTAACTCCACGGCCGGATCGGAGGGCCGATTGGGTCACTTCCGGTGCGGGTGATGCGCTTCCGGGCACCGCTGGCCTTGCGTTCAGGCCTCGTTTTCGGCGCAGAGGATGGGGGGCGGGCCTGGCTGGTGCATGAGGTCTGATTACAGGCCTCACTGTGAAACATCACCGGCTGGAGAACAAGTTTCTCTCCAGGATGGACGCTGCTACTCCTCTACAAACCGGTCAGGGGGATACAGGTCCTTCAGGCACCAGCTCTGCTCAGGTAGGTGAATGCTTCAATTCACTCACTCCCTGTAGTTGATTACGTTTTTGTTTATTTCCTCCACCTGGGGCTCCTTGGTGTTGGGCTTAAGGTGCGAGGGGGCACTAGAGGGTTAGATGACTGATTCTGTCCTTTTCTGTGTTTGCAGGTCCAGGTGGCTAAAGGCAAGGTCCTTAAAATGAAGTGTGCAGTCTGCTCCATAAAGCTAGTCTACCTTTTCTTCTTTTAGATCCCTGATAACTGAATTGGGACCGCCTGCATCACAGTTTCTAGTGCCAAAACCTCCAGCTCTTACTCAGCAGCCCCAGACAACGTCCAGGTCAGGTGGGGTCTGTCAGAGGGAGCCAGAGGAGGTTGATGTCGCTGCATCCTCTCGGCAGGGGTCTTCTGCTGAAGATGACAGTGACAGGGATGATTGTCCCCTTGTCTCTAAGTACAAGCTATCTCTGGAAGAGTTGGGGGAATTATTAGGTGCCGTATATGATACCCTGGATATTCAGGAAGAGAAGGTGCTGCTGTCTAGGCACGATTTAATGTACCAAGGACTTCAGCAGCAAAAGGCCAGAGTTTTTCCGGTGCACAAAGTGCTCACGGACACCATCTTTAAAGAATGGTCAGAACCAGATAGGAAACCTCTTTTTTCCAGCAATTTGAAAAGACGTTTTCCTTTCGACGAAGATGCATCACTACCATGGAACAAGGTTCCTAAAATTGATGCATCATTGTCGAAGATTTCTAGGAAATCGGATCTGGCATGTGAAGATATGGGGGTGCTCAAAGACCCTATGGATAGGCCGGCTTTGGCAACGACATGCGTTGCCAGGAACCTAGAGTTTTGGCTTACCCAACTGCTGAGTCACTTGGTGGCAGGGACCCGAGGGAACAGATCATAGATTCCCTACCGATGCTGTTTAAAGCAATAGCATTTATGGCGGACGCTTCAGCTGACTGTCAAAATGGCGGCCAGGTCCAGAGCCTTGATCAACTCGTCTCGCAGGGCGATTTGGTTGAAGGCTTGGGAGGGGGATGCAGCTTCGAAGTTGCGGCTTTGCAATCTTCTGTTTAGGGGTGATCTTTTTAGGCCGGAACTGGAAGCCGTATTGGAACGTACGGCAGATAAAAAGAAATAATTTCCCGAAAAGAAAAAGCCCTTTCGTAGGTTTTTTAAAGGACCCAGGAACAAGGGGCAGAATGCGAAAGGGGAGCTACCCAAAAAACAATGGACGGGGCAGAAAGGGAAGTATTTTTACTAACCCTCCCACCCAGACACCAAAGCAGCAATGACTACTGCGTGAGGGTGGGGGGAAGGCTGACTAAGTTCCTCCCTCGTTGGATGAGCATTACTTCCAATCAGTACATACTCAGCCTCATCCAGGAGGGGTACAGGTTGCAATTCTGCGACACTCCACCCCACCGTTTTTTGATAACGAATCTCCCAAGGAACGCGGACAAAGCCAAAGCTCTTTGCCTTCTATTGGGAGAATTGGTGGATCAGAAAGTGCTCATTCAGGTATCAGATCCGGAGAAGGGTCGGGGACTGTATTCTCACGTTTTTGTGGTCCAAAAACTGTCAGGGAAGTACAGGCTGATTTTCAATCTCAAACTCTTGAACTTGGCAATCAGGTGCAAGAGGTTTCAAATGGACTCCATTTTTTCGGTCCGAAACCTGTTGCAAAAAGATTCCTTTTTAGCAACACTGGGTTTGAGATGCTTATCTCCACATTCCCATTCACAGGATGTCCCAAGTGTTTTTGCCTCTGGCGGTAAGGATAGTTCAGGAGGTGGTGCATTACCAGTTCAGGGCCCTCCCGTTCGGGTTGTCTTCGGCACCTTGCATTTTTACCAGTGTTGGGGGAGGCGTTGGCACCTTTAAGGATGCGAGGTGTTGGAATCATTCCATATTTAGACGACATTCTCCTATCCGCCAGCTCTGCAGCTCTTTGTACCAAAAACCTGGAGATGACGCAGATTTGGTTGAGGGACCTGGGATGGGTGATACATTTTCAAAAGTCAAACTTAATTCCTTCCCAGATCGCCGTTTTTTTGGGTTACATCCTGAATACGGTGGAGCAGAGGACTTTTCTCCCAGTGGAGAAAATTCAGAAAGTGGGAAAGGCAGTGAGTCGCTTGCAGACTAATTGCCCCGCATCCCTAAGGGGAGTTATGTCGGTGCTGGATCTTATGACCATGTCTACCGGCTGTCCAGTGGGCAAGGTTTCACCAGAGGGGTCTCCAACGGTTTCTGTTGAGGGTGTGGGACCATTCCCAGGTGAACTTGGACGCCACAGTCAGGCTTCCCTCTTCAGTGAGGAGGAGCTTATAGTGGTGCAGAGATCAGGGTCGCCTATCGGGAGGCCTTCAGTGGTTTTTTCATGCTTCCATAAGGTTGTCTACGGACGCAAGTGCCTGGGGATGGGGCGCACACCTGCAGAATCAGGTGACTCCGGGACAGTGGTCTCATCGAGAGGCACAAATGTCCTCCAATTGGAGGGAGCTGCGAGCGGTTCTGAACTCAATTCTGGCGTTTCAGGATCAGCTCAAGCATCTGATGGTGTTATCAGACAACGTAGTCACCGTGTGTTATCTGAACAAACGGGGGCACCATGAGTTCCTTCCTTCAGGCAATCGCAAAGGATATTTTTGTTTGGGCAGAAGTGAATCTGTTTTCTCTCTCGGCAGTACACCTAAAAGGAACACAGAATATGCTGGCAGATTATCGGAGTCGGGTCCAGGACGAATGGAGCCTGGATCAGGAGGTTTTCAACCTCTTATCCCGGGAGTGGGGTTTACCGGAAGTAGATCTGTTTGCCACTCAGTCCAACGCGAAGTTGGAGCACTTTTTTTCCCCCTGAATGCAGCGGACAACGCAGTAGCGGTGGATGCGCCATCGCATCCATGGGAATATCACCTGTGTTACGCATTTCCTCCCATTCATTTAATTCCACGGGTTCTGCAGAAGTTCTTGCAGGAAGAAAC